GAGTGTGTTTTTACACGCCCGAGCATGTGTGAGAGTGCTGCTGTGGGAGTCTTTGCTCTTTTCTACAGTTTCTACAGAGACAGACCCCAGAAGAGCCGTGTCAGTCTGGAGCTTGTAGAAACACTTCTGCTCCCGGCTGGGACTGGACTCACCGGCCCTGCTCCTGTGACAGTGGCCCTCTTCCTCGTGCTGAAGCAGGAGGCGAACACTACCACGCGAAGCGCTCCATTACTGCTCGTCTTTTACACACCCTCAGCCTGCCACGTCTCTCACTACCTCGCACTAGAGCGCGTCTGCTGCACCGTCCCTGACCACAGCACTCTCTCTCTCTCTCACTCTCTCGCACTCTCTCTCTCTGGGTCGTTTCTCTTAACGAAGCTGCACCCCTCACTGCAGACACACGCCGCTCTGCCTGTCGGTCCTAGAGCACATCCCGTGCTTCGGCTCTTCAGCCGTGTTTCCCCACAAGATTTTCTGTGTTGTTCTCAGTTAGGCTACAAGCGACATCGCCTGAGGAATGAAAGGGCTTCTCCTTCCCCGTCGGATCTGATCGGGGTTTAGAGAAGCATCAGACCAAACCCCTCCTCTAGGCCAGGCTGGAGCCAGACTGAGGGGCAGAGCATGAGGGCCTGTCCCTGCACGCAGCCGGGCCGGTCTTGGCACAAGTATGTATCTCTGCACTAGCGTGTCCTTTGTATTTGTGTGTGCACAGCTTTGCACTAGTGTGTGCTTTGTATCTGTGCATGTACACATCTTTGCACTAGTATGTATTTGTGTGTGCACACATCTTTGCACATGTCTATGCGTGTTCGCCCAAGCTCGCCCTTGCACAAGCGTCCATGAGGGTGCCTCTCCCCGGGTGCGTGTGCCTCAGTTCCTTGCCAGCGGCGCCCCCTGCAGGACCCCGCGGGGCAGGTCGATCCCCCGCGCCTTCGCCAGCCCGCACGTCCGCTGAAAGCGCTCCTCGTGCTTCTGCAGCGACGCCTTGCAGGGGAAGGTCTGGCCGCAGTGGGCGCACGCCAGCAGCCTAGCGGCCAGCTGGGGCCAGTGCTTCTGCTGCCCCCTGCTGGGAGCGCTCTCCACCACGTAGCAGTCCTCCTCCTCCTCCTCCTCCTCCTCGTCTTCCTCCTCCCGCTCCGCGCCCGGCTCGCCCTCGCCGCCGGCGGGCCGCAGCCTCGTGACGCAGCCCCTCTCGTAGGTCTTGATGCCCCGCGTGGGGCGGAAGCTGAACGTGATCTCCTCGGGGACCTGGGGGGGGGCCGCCTTCTCCCCCGGCCCAGCCTGGACCCCGTTCGGCCC